CATCTCTCTCCCCATCGAGTCAGACGACCACAAGTGACCATAGCACGGGACGGACAGGCATGTCTGACTCTCTCTGTCTCTCGTTGGGAGGGAGGGAGGGAGGGAGGGAGAAGGGGAGCGGGGCCTCCATGAGCAAGAGGGAATGGGCGAGGGACAGTGACGAGGGGGCGTGATAGATGCATGCATGACTAGGCTTCAAGAGCCTCCCTTTTTTTTGCGGTGTGTGCGGTAAGCCGATCGTATCGACTTGAGAGAGAACAGATGCCTCGCAGTATTGCCTGTATGCCTGCTGCCGAGTGAGTGGATGAGCGGGCAGAGTGAGTGGATCAAGTGTGCGTGACCGACTGACTGACTGGCTGGCTGGCTGCATCCATCGAACGGCGGACCCGTTTTGGCGGACGGGCATCGACAACTGCATAGATGCGTGTTGGCTTTCAAGACAGTGCTGTGTGTTGGTGTCTTCTTTCGGCTCCCTCATCGCGCGGGTTCGTGTGTGTTGAGCGAGCCATGATGGGCCGAGCCGCCGAGAGCTCATTTGACGGTAGACAGAGAAATTTAACCTGACTTAACTTGACGACTTGGCAGCAACTTGACTCAGTAGGTGTCAACGACCTGGTGCATGGTGCCTGTGTGCCCATGGGGTGTGTGTGTGGAGGGCTACCTGTGAGCTGGAGATAAACAGGGACAGACAGACAGACAGACAGACACGTGCCAGGCTAGAGATGGCACGGATCTCCCTCTATCGTTGGTGCACTTGTTGTGCCACGGCCGATTGAATCAGTTCACTGTCTGTCAGTCCTCACACCCACATCGTCCGTCCGTTGCACTGCCCGCGGCATGGTCGTCACCCATCCACTCACTACGCAGGTAAATAACCTCATGCGTGTCGTGCTTGTCGATAAATGCAATTCGTGCGTTCTGTGGCTGACGCTTGCACGTGCAATATGAATGGTCGGTCGGTCTGTCTGTCTGTCTGTCTGCGCAGAATGTTGGATGATGGCTGGTCGGTAGGGCGACCGTGGGTGGGGGGGAGTGTCGCCATTGACCGCTGATGTGTGACGCGTGTTGGTGTTGTTATCGGTGTTGATATAAAGACAACGTAAAACTGCTGAAGAGTCCATACGCACACACCACAACACAACACACATGCACCGGCCGACACAATCTGTGTGGGTGTCGAGCGTCCTCGTGACCATACCAGTGTGTCGGACTCTCTCATCTCTCACGGGAAGGTCGTCGATGGACCGTATACATAATACTAGATTGGCCAAAAGGGCCCACGGAGAGGGGCATAACATAGGCATGCAGGCGCGGCATCCATGTATACAATGGCGTATATAAAGGTGGATATAAAGGTGTGAGTTGGTGCGGTCATCGCTACTTAAAACATCAATCAATCAATCAGGCCAGTTGGCCCAGCAGGCCACACATCCCTGACACACAAATGACATGAATGGACCGGACCTACGCCCACACCCCAAGCACTGGCATTAAGTCTCTGATGTACTGACAAAACACACCCACCCGTACACATCCCTCCCTGCCCCCTCCCTCCCTCGCTCTCAGCCAGCCTGCCTACTGCTGCCCGACATCTCATCTGCCCCCGACTCCTTCGCAGCCGGCTCGTCATCTGCTTCCCCCACGATGGCTGCCCCCTCCTCCTCTTCACCCGTTTCCTCCTCAGTGTAGTCGTCTCCGTGCTGTCGATGGTCCCCACACTGCCACCCGCCATGTCGCCATGTCGCGTGTGTCCGTCTAGGTGAGCCCTGGGGGTGCTCCGACTGCTGCTCCTGCTGCCTTCTTGCCGTCTGGGGAATCTCCGACTGCTGCTCCTACTGCATCCTTGTCGTCTCTTGGTCGAGCAGCTGCTGCAGCCGCTCCACGCTATTCTGCAGGTCGGGGAAGAGCTCGAAGCACCGCTTTCTGAAGGATGGAGGCATTGAGCCGTTGCGCAGGCCCTCGGCCATGGGCATCCGCTCCAGCATTCGCCGCAGCGCGCTGCGGCGTTGCTGCTCCACAGTGGGCGGCAACCAGGCTGGGGTGTTGAGGTGGGCGCCACGTCCAGCTCCGGGCCCTGTTGATTGCCACATACACAGGCATGGTACACACACACACACACACAGAGAGAGAGAGAGAGAGAGAGAGGAGAGAGAGAGAGAGATGGTTTCGCTTTTCTCCCTGGTCATCTGCGCGTGTGTGTGCTGTGATTTTGTGTGCTAACGACCCACCTGTGGCCTGTGAGTTGGTGTTGTTGTTGTTGTTTGGCGTGAAGTTCATGTCGATACCCCTGCCGCGGCCAAGGGGGAGCACCCTTCCCCCTCCCCCTCCCCCGCCGCCACCAGCGGCGTTGTGCTGCACTACAGTGATGCCAAATGACGCAGAACTGCCACCACCAGCAGCAGCGGCAGCAGCGGGCCGCTGCACGCCACCGCCACCCTGTGGCTGCTTTGGCTTCGCTGTGAGCTGTGTCGGCGGGGATGGTGATCGCCCGTTGGTGTTGTTGCCTCCGGCGTTGGTGTTGTTGCCACCAGAAGGGATGTGGGCCTGCTGGAAAGGCTGCATCCTCACGGGCGCGGGTGTGGGCTAGGCGTGGACCGGGGCCGCATGCTGCTGCTGCTGCTGCTGTTGCAGCTGCTGTTGTTGTTGTGTCTGGGGGGGTGGCCCCTGCGCGGCGGTGGGGGTGTGGTCAGGGTGCCTGGGGGGAGGGGGATGAATACCCGGACTGACACAGACACAAACACACCCACGACGCAACACAACACACAGCACAACACATGTGATGGTCGATGTGGTCGTTGTGTGTGGTGTCTGTCTGTCTGTCTGTCGGGTGGCTTACGGCAGGGCAGGGAAGTGTGTAGTGGCGAGTTTCCGATAGCGAGGGTCCTGGAAGAGGTCCCGCAGCTTGCCCGTGCGATCGTCGTTGAGGAGGGCGTAGCCGTCGAGGTCCCCGCGCTGCTTGCCGCGCCCCAAGATGATGCCGTGCAGCGCCTGGGCCAACAAGGGCGCCTGGTGGATGCGGTCGTAGAACTGACACACAGCCACCCCCAATGACGCACACACCCAATAATGACACTCAGGCACATCAACCACCCTGTGCGTGCGCTGCGCTGTGCTGTCCGACCTCTCTGATGACGTGCATAGCGAATGCGTATTGGGACGACATAGCCCCAATGCGTATAGGGACGTATGTGTAATACGCACTCCCTCTCCTGTTCCTCATGCCGTCCCTGACCATGACGACAGCCATGCCCCGGAACTCCTTGGGCATGGCCTGGTCGCGCAGCATGACGGCCGTGAACTCCTTGGCCAGCACGTACAGCTGCTGCTGCCCGTCCATGGTGCACAGGTTGAGCCTGTCGATGAGCTCGCCGGTGGGGTGGCGGAATGCCCATATGATGCCCTGACCCTTGCCGGCCATCTGACCCCCGTGGGCTGGCGGGTCGGACCGCAGCAGCTGCAGGGTATTCCGATACACCTTCGTGGCGAAATCGGGGTCGTGAGGAGATGCTGATGGATCGACGAACGGCAATACAACACACAACACAACACAACAGACAAATGGATGCGGGCAATGGTGTGGGGAGGGGAGATGGAGTGGAAGCGGCATCTTGCAGCATACCGTTGCATTGGATGAGGGTTTTAAGACATTGGGGGATGAGTCCACCTCGTCCGGGCTCATCGACCTCTTGAGGCACGTCTACACACACACCACCATCACACAGCGCACACATCACATCAGCCTACCTCACCCACACGAAACGCACAAACACCACCCCCATCTGTGTGTGCGAATATACCCGAGGCTAGGAGGGCGTCAGGAGGTGGAAGTGAGGAGGCGGTGGCAAAGCTGTTGGGCGGGGGAGGGCCCGCGTGGGACCCGACGAGCCCCGGGAGTAATGTGATGGCTCCGCCTAACTTGTCGTGGGCGATGTCGACTGCCCTGGGGACGGAGGAAGCAAGATCACTGCCGCTCTGGGGCTCCTCGCTGGTCTGGAGGGCGATGTATGCCGGCTGACGACCCCACTTGGCCACCGTGATGGTTGATGTGAACTCGTCGCCGTCCTTGTCGCCACACAGTATGACGAATCGATATGGACTGCCGAATCTGCTAGTGTAGTCGATGATGCGGCAGCCCCACAGGGGCGGCTGCTGGGCGATCAGGGCACAGATGCGGCGATACTCAGCAGTGCGGCGACCCCACACCTCATCCCGCACACGACGCGACGACCCAAAGCATGTCCTGAAGGAGCGAGGAACGGAAAGGCAAATCACGCGAGACGTTGCTGTGTTGTGTTCTCATTTAAGCCGCTGCATACCTCTTGACGACCAACCCACGGAAGGTCCCGTACTCGTCACCATCGCCTGCAGACACATCAACACGCAGCGCCAAATGACATCCATGTCAAGTTGCTTCTCCTATGGTGCTTTGCCCTCCCTCCCCTGCCTCCCTCCCCTGTCTCACATATGCAGGGGGGATCCTTCGGATCGAATCCAGCCGCATATCTGGCCGGCACCGTCCATCGTGTGTGCACCCCCACCGCATACCACCCACCCAGGATCTCCCGCCCATCGGCCGCCAACGTCAGTTGCATGTCATCGCCCAATCGGTGGCCGTACAGGCCATACTGGCGGATGGCCTCTGGGCGGCGGAGGTAGACAGTCTTGCTGCCCGCCTGCTGCAGATCGCCACCCGTCAGCTCGATCGGCAGCTGCTGCAGTCGTCCACAGCTCCTGGCCAGCCGCAGCACCGGCTCGCTGCCCCGCCAGTCGCCCCCCGTCGCCATCAGGTAGTGCAGACGGATCAGTCGCAGTCGGCGCACCAAATGACGGGCGCCGACCGACCGGCGCAGCGGGGCGTAGCCGATGACGCCCGTGAGGCCGTTCTTCTCGATCAGGCTGTCAATGTCGCCGACCAGGGCGGCCTCGAGCGCGCTGCTGACCGCCTCGGATGTCCGGCAGAGGGCGATCGTGTTTTGTGGCTTGAGGGTGGAGGGGGTGTCGCGCTCGCCGCTGATGAGGGGCATGAGGGTGTCGCGGACGACGTCCGTGGGCAGGAGCGGCAGACCGGCCAGGAAGGGCGGATCGGCAGCACCAATGTGGCGGCGCTTCGCATCAACCTCAACCTGCACACTCATCATCCCACAGACACACTTGTCATCATGGTAATAGGGAGTACAGTGCAACAGCCGTACCTTCTTCTCTGTGTCAGTGGTCTTGATGGGTTTCTCAGCAACAGCATGGGCCTCCCCATCGCCTGGAGTGACCAGCGCAAAAGTCTGGGAGTGCCCTTCCAGCTGAACCACACACACACACACACAAACACACAAACAGGGAAAGCTCCGCACATGCCTTCCCAAGGGATGGATGGATGCATGAGTGTGTGCGTACCAATGCCACTCCATTCAGTCGTCTGAGTCGGTCCTTGAGGGGGTCGAGTGCATCGGATACGTCTGACACGGCAGCCTCCATCATCGCCAGACGCCTCTCACGCACCGAGCCCAGCACCCAGTGCACAGACCACACGAAGTCAAACGGAAGCAGGGAGGGAGGGAGGCATCACTGACCTTCGCAGCTAAGAATCTGACCAGGTCGCCCATCTGCGCACCGCACACACAACAAAAATCTCACACCGCCCCCCGCCATCTCAGTGTCAGCGTGCATGGCTCTCACCTGCGTCTGCATCACAACAAATTGCTCATGCAAGGCCAGCAGCCTCCCAAACACCTCACAGAACCTCTGAAGAGGAGGAATACACACGGCTGTGATGAGCAGAAGGGGAATACATGCCTGCTCCTCACAGTGCTCACCGACTGCTCGCTCTGGTTGATGAATCCGAATACAGTGCTATATCCACCACCACCTGGCCAACACACACACCACACCACACGCAGAACCCCTCTCCCCCTCACAAGGGAGGCGCGGTCAGTAAGCCCACCTGTGGCGCATGGTTTGGTGCCGCGCATGGTGCTGCTCGCTGTGCTCACGGCAGCTTCACGCAATGCCTGAAGACCACCACACCATGACGCCATAGTCGCCAGACGCCATCAAGCCGAGAGATGAATGAATGACGCGCCGACCTGACAGTACAGCACACAGGAGGGCAAATGCGATGAATGAATAGGATACGGGCCTCCTCTTTGCTCTCTGCTCGTCTGAGCGTGACCTTTCCGCGCTATCTCATGGCCGTCGGTCGCTCTTTCTCTTCAGAGGTGCCTGGGTCTCTGCCTGTGGCCTCCTGTTGGCCGCAGAAAACGAAATTCAAATGCGGCGAGAATTTTCGCGAGCTGAGACAAACCCCTGATTTGAACTCGCAGTCTCATTTTCCGCATTTTTGGTCCGCGTTTGGCTTTGCAGCCTTATTTCGGCCACATCTCCTTCGTATCTGTTTCTTTTCGGCTGGTTGTTGGCTTGTGTTGTCCGCCGCATCTCCCTCTACCCCTCCCAACTCGTCCGGATCCATCCGCCACTTTTTTCCTCCACGGCCGTGCCCCGGGCGAGGGCTCGCCTGGTGGTGCCGTTCCTTGTGCGGAGCGGCTGGCGACTGCCTGGCGCCTGCAGAGTGCGCACGCGCCTTCTTTTCGCACAAACCGCCTTCGTCAGGTGAATACATATGAGTGTGGCATCGTGCGTCCTGTCTCTCGGGTGTGGTGATGGTGTGGTGTGTGGATGACAGGGATGAATGCATGGTGCATTTCGTTGTCATGGGTGTGCTCAGATGCCTCCTATTGCCATGTCTGTGTGTGCAGATGAAGTGGTGATTTCTTTCTTTCTCATTCCTGTCTCCTTTTCTCAACACATTTCTGTGAAGAATAGCGAGTGCCTCATTGAGATTGGTGTTCACGTGCGCGTCGGATTCCCTGTCTGCTGCTCTCCACAAACGAGATCCCTTGGTCCGACGAAAAAAAGCGAGAAAAAAGAGACAGATTGAAAATTTATCCAATTCATCTTTGTGTCTTGAGCAGGCCGAGAAGTTTTCACGACGACGACAACCTCCTGACCAACGAGGAGACCTGCGTATGGAAGCCACAAAGATAGTAGCGTGCACACGTGCACTGTCAAAAACTCAGAATGCTCACTGCTTTGATCAGCGGAAAAATAAGCTGTGTCTTCTGAGTAGGCAAGTCGCCTCATGCGCCGCCACCAAGGGCTCTCTCTATATATCGTGACGAACACTCGACATCTGTCCTTTTTGCCTTCTCTTTCAGCTCAGCGAGAGAGGTCCTTCCCTTTCCCGGCATCGGCAGAAATATTTTTTCACGCCCGAGGAGTGGGCACTGCTGTTAGCACGGGTTCGCGCGCAGGTAAGTGATGGACCAACTGACAAATGAGACAGACAGTGACCGCTGTGCCCATCTAATTGCTTGTGCAGAGCGAGTCGGAAGAGGCGCCGCCGCCTCACAAGCGGCATCGATGCG